AAAGCTGTCCAAGTGATTCTAGTATGAATACAAAGCTGAGTATGACTGCTTTAACAGATTACTGAATTTTCATGAACTGATTGGTTGGCTTTTATAAAACATTCTTTCTGTTATAAAGCAGGCTTACAGATTAGAAATATGCTTCTCAGCCATTCTAATCACAGGAGCAATATCTTCCCATGGAACTAGGATGTTCGGTTTGGCAGAACTCATGCACAAGAAGAACCACAAAGGGCTTTATTTATTTTTTCCCTGGGCTTGCAGCAATCATTACATATGGATACGTTTATAAATCAGAATAATGAATGACTGGTTCTGCAGCTCTGTGTTTAGATTCATGGGTGAGATTTGCAGCATCTTCAAAGAAACACTGTTCAAAGCCTCCAAACCCCCTCAAACTCACTCACTTTTGATCTTTCTCTGATATACATTCTGCAGAATGTGCATGGACAGAAATCAGAAATGAAACATAGAAATACATATATATATATTTGAAGAGATATTTCTGCTGGATGAAGAGCTCACCATTGGTCCTTTGAGAGAGAGATGGGAATACAACATTCTTAGAACTCTCTTGCCATCCAGAAATGTTACATTTGTTCATAAAGTCAGTATCTTCATGGTTAGGTAAAGGAGAATCTGAGCTTTCTCTCTACCTTGGGGGTACCAAACCAACCAGTTGTTGGTAACTTGAACTGCAGTCCATAGGTTTTCAAGACTGAATCATGTTCATCTGGCATTTCTTCTCAGGTGCCCCTAGATGGATTCAAACCACTAACTTTCTGTCAGTAGTCAAATGCTTAACTGTTTGTTCTACCCAGGGACTCACCTTGGGGGTACTATTGTGAATAAACAGAGTTCCAGTTGCAGTCAGATACCAACAAATTAAAGAACCATGTTTTAACAGCTGTGGAACGGGTCACTGAACAACCCCAGTGGATAGTAGAGTAACAGATAAGCTGAGAAGGGAAATCGGTTGATTTCATGAAAGACATGGAACTAACTGTAGTTTCAGATGAGGAGTAGCCATTAAGGTGACAGAACTTTTGATGTGAGAGAAATAGAAAACAATTGAGCTTTATTTGCTTCTTTTAGTGGGGAAGAAAGAAAATATGTGCATTGAATTTCTCCATAAAGATTGGAAAATGTAGCTGGCTGTTGTTTTCCTGAAATATCACCCACTGAGAAGCATAGAATGCAGAGCCATCTTAAGCTGCACTAATATTAATAATAAACATAGAATCTGAAAAATCAAGGAAGGAAAGAAGATATTACTTTCTTACTTTTGGTGTCAGTTTCTTTTTAATTCATCCATGTCTACTTAGTTTTCCCCAATAATCCTCTTCTCCACTCCTCAGAAGGAGGGCAATCTCCTTCCATGGTGATGTTGCCTTGTAAACCCAAAGAGGGGTCACTATAAGTTGGGTCCGACTTGATGGCACATAACGATAACAACAACAAGAAGCCATTTTGTTATTAGTACCAAGTGAGTTTTATATATGAACAGGTTGTATTAATACAGAAAAATTGCTGGCAAAGTGAAGATGATATCCTTCATCTGTGTGAGAACTTAAGCACTAAGAAAAGATTAATTTAGTTTCGTATTTGGAATTTTTTCTTTTCCAAGGCTGTTTAATGTGTTCAAAATAAGTATGGGAGAAACTGTAAGGTGTATTTTCTAGTTTGAACGTCAGTGACTCAAACTCATTTGGATGTTTCCATTCAAGTCATTGCACCAAGAATATACTCTTGTACCTAAGAATCCATTTATATATGCCAGGAAAATCCAGACACCATGTCCCATGTTGAAGTTTCAGGGTAGGGATGGAAATATTATAAAATATGTTCTTTGTCATTGGGGAATAAAGTGCTAAAGAAAATGACTTAACTAAGAACATAAAAACTTTCCTTTATAATTCTGTACTCATAATTGACATTATAAGGTATCTCAAGCACATTAACCTAATCAATGGCACCCCAGATTTCTGGGATTGCTAACGTGGTAAGCGTTAACTCTGCTTTAACTCGTATAAAAAGAGAATAATGACATTCCATTTTGATATGGTACTATTGTGATGTAGCAACACCATAAATCTACTTCTTTTTCTTTTTAAGCTTTGCAAGTATACTAAGAAGTGAACATTGTTATATATTTTCAACTTGAACTGAAATGTATCAGAAAAAAGATGTGTTCAATGTCATTTCTTGAGATAATGCATTTATAGATTTTGACACAAAGAATAGCAGCTAATATTCTACAACTAAGAAAAATCAAAAGATACTTCAGTAACATAAAATTGACTTTTAATGTTTGTTTACCAGTCCATTGTCTCTTACAGAAAAAATGAAAACATTTATTTTTTTAAAAAATACATATTGGTTCTTCTCCTCAGATATGTACTCAGTATGTATTAAATGTCTTTAAATACTGATTTTCTTTTAATCAGGTGACTTAATGACTTGATTTTTTTCATTGTTTTGTTGTACACTATTGCTATTTGGCAGTAGTGAGCTATGATACAGTTGACCTCTCAATGAAAATATGTCGGCTACTCATTGATCTTTTTCTGTGCATTCTATGCTGAAAATTGATAAGTGATTCTTTTGTAATCCTCCCTTCCTCAGTGGTCAGTTACTCCAAAAGACCACTATATTATGTGGAGCACTGAAATCAGGAAACCCAACATGGCTGCCAGCAACCAAATTTGAATCTCCATCGAGTCTAGCACTAATTGCCAAAATAATAAGCAACTATATTATGGTATAAACTAAAACGTTAATAGGTACCGGCCCCCTTTCTATGAGAGAAAGTTTGAATTTACAAATACCATGTTTGACTAAAAATTACTGTGATAAAATGTGGCAGCAATCATTAAAATATGGCTTCCAGTGTTAATGTGATTAACTTGTTTTCTTTTCTATCCTGTCCTTTTATGTGAATTCTTTCTTTTTGTTTGGGCATCTCAGTGAGATATGCAGGTATACTTTGTTCTTTATATGGAGCACAAGTGTTAATTATGGATAAAATGATCACAACAAGGCTTCCTAACCCAGGTTCTTATCTTATTCCTCTGGTATTCTTGGAACCCAAGTCTGAGGGGTATTTTTTAATTAGTCAGTGCTGTACCTACTTTCTTTTAGGACTTTGATTAGGATAACTTTCTCTTTCAGACATTCTCAGCGAAATACCTTGGAGAATGAAGTACGAAATGGGTATTTGGTGGAAAACAGTTAAATGAGAGCATTAAGAAGACCCTTTATTCAAACAGGATTCCAAAAGATATGAGGATTCTGATGTTTTAGGTGAAATAAGAGGTAAAAATTCTGCCCAGCAGTACTCACTCTGGTAAGGTTTTCTTTTTACAAGAATGAAGAAAATGGTATTAAATTGGTATAGACTTTAATTTGCAAACAGTCATTCCAGAAATTTTGATCAGCACCGATTCCTATACTAGTAAGTATTTAAAAGTTAAGAAATGCTACTATGCTTAAGATTATAAAGGTAGAGTTCTGTAGCAATAACTGAAAATTATGCATCTACTTCAATAGAAATTTGTTCCCACTTGTATTTCCAATAAAATTCTTGTAACATATGTAATAATTCTTCAAATATGGGCTTCCTCCAATGACTCCCATATCTGAGGTATTAGAGTTGCTATTTTACAGATATTCTCCTCTGTAAATAGTATACTCATCTGATTGTAGCCCATTCAGGGCTTTTTAACTTGTAAGTACAAGTTCTATTTACAACAGCAGTGTTTGAATTATACTTCATAACCTCTTTGGAGTTATATTTTTGTACAATTTGCATATGCATCCTAATTTTAGAATGTGCATGCATGCATTGTCATATTTTAATATTAAAGTATCTGCAAATTTCCAGATATGCTTTTGATGAAAGAAAGTATCTACTTTTATTTACAATAATTTGTCTAGGTAATATATGAATATAGCTATGGTTTCATGGACTTCCAATTGTTGTATACCTTCCACATACATAACTCTACATTTACAGAGTAAATTTATCAGAATTATTACAGAGCTTTAAATGCAACCACAATCAATTCAGGAAACAGATTTATTTACTCATGTTCATGGGAGGAAATCTACATAGAAACATTCATGAAAGCATATCAGCTATGTCATACTTTGATTATTGTACTAAATCCCATTTATTAGAATCATTGTCAAACAATGGGAAACCATGAAATGTAATTTGAATACAAATATTGGTCCCTGTGGGAGTCTCAACAGTCACAAAACAAAACAAAAAACTATAAGAAAACAAAGATTGATTTAAGACTTGAGCTGCTAATGGGGAACTTTGTTTCTCTGAAATTGGACTTAACCTTTCATGTAAAGCCCTAAAGATTTATTGTAAACTTTTTGATGACAGCTTCAGCATCTCATTTCAACCAAATGACCAGCAAGGAAAATGCCATCACAGAGCACATTTTCTAAATGGTCAAAGGTTTAGAGGGACATTGTTGGCTTTTTTTTTCCCCCAGACACAGGCACCAGTTGGGCTTTCTAGTGTATATACAAATAGGAGTGCTAAGAATTTTGAAATTTTTTTCTTGGTTGTGCAAGTGTATAATTATCCATTCTTTGTATGATTTAATTTTTTAGGTAATGTAAATAACAAAGAAATATTAAATAGTTTAAAGTTATTTTTATAGGACAATTATATTTCATAAGCTAACATAAAATCAAGCTGCTAAATTTTACAATTTTTCTGTCCAGCAGTTTATCTATATAACTGCCCTGAGTAGATGCTAAATGCTGCTTAGCAAACGGCCCTTAGAATTTAAATATAACTCAGTAAAGCTACTCAAAAGATAAAACAATTCTTCTCAGACATGTGTCATTTTAATTAGAAGAAGGTAGGATTCTTTCATTGGTTAAATATTATCTGCTTACTTAAGTTTCATACTTCATATAAATGGGAGTGTTAAGGAGTTTTAACTGTGCTTATTGTCCATATGAAATTTGATTTTATATTTTTGGTCAAAAAGGCAGGATTTTAAAGAATAAGACATTCTATCTATTGGAGACTTGAAATATTAACTTCTAGAAAAGTATAGCTTGTTCCCTTGTGAAACTGAGTACACAACGTCTCAGAATCTCAGATTATGTAAAGAAGCCTAAGTTTCAAATCTGTTACTTTAATTTGTGTGTTGTAGTACATTTCAAAATTATACAAATGTGTAAAATTTGTGCTTGTGGAAGCTGCTGTTGGAGTAGCTTTACTTTCCTTAATTATAACCCTAGCAATTCTCAAGCTATTGCATGCCCCATTCATAAAAGAATACTTTGATGATGTAGCTTAAACAGTTTGGCTCCAAAGCCTCCTTATGTAGTGCTTCCCTTAAAATTATATTAATTTATAATATATATCGAATGATAGCTTTACAAAAACAAATTAATGAATTGGTCTATATGAAAATGACTCTTTACAGTAAGTAAAAAAGGGTTATCACAGTTTTGGTAACTTGCATGAGTTCATATTGAAATAACAAAAACAAAAACATTTCACATGTTTCTCTGACTTTAAAACCGATGTGCTCTAGAGGCACACTCAGTTGTATGCTCTGAAACAGTAGACACCATACAGCTTATGTTTTTTATCTGGGAAACCCACGAAGCGCACGGCAGCCTCGGTGGGACTGCAGCGCCTTCTTGGCCTGGAGATGGGGTAGCGGACGCTGCCATCCGCCAACCAGCCTGCATCGCAGCGATCGTAGCCAAGAAGTTTCCAGGCAGCGAAGATCTGGCCCACTTTCGCAATCTGAGCACCATCATTGAGACAAGCTTGCACCGCTTCATCATAGGTCAGCTTGGTGGGGTGAATCAGGTAGTAAAAACGGCCTGTGGTGAGAAGGAGAGAGAGTCAATGCGCCTGTCTGTAACGGAGTCACAGAAATGAAACAAGCCAAAAAAGGAAATGTTTCTCCATGGGGCTGGGGGGCGGAGGCGGGGACTGGGGCGATATAGAACAATATGTATGAAGTTTTGGGATCATACATTATGTCAATTAAATGTAAAACCCCTAGGTCGTTCGCCATTGAATCATTTTTTTTTTTTCTTTTCCTTGTCCCTTAGTATGTGTTCAGACATGCCCTTTTATAGCTTTAAAGAGAAAAGGAAAATGACAGATGCAGTTTCTGTTAGCTAATTAGCGACTAAAAGAACCATTCTGTGGCACTAGAGAAGACAGAATTCCATGTAAAAAGCAAGAGCTATTTAAATTCTAGCTGTAGCAAGACTGAACCTTAGTACAAGTTTCTGGAGAGGCACAATTTGAATGTGAAAGGATCAAAAAACATCCCTGACGTAAAAGTCTATTAAAAAAAAAAAAAAAAAAATCAAATGCCCTCGAGTCCTTTTCATTACAGGTATCAATAAGGTATTATTTTTATTCAAAGATTACAGTATGAAAATGTGAAGAAAAAGAAAAAAAGAGGCAGTCACTTGTCATAAATAAAATGCACTTGGAATATGATTCTGGTCTTTGCTCACTCACTAGCAAGTAGGATAAATTTATTTTTCTCACCTTCCATCTGTTTTGAGCTCTGACCATTTCTTGATTTCAGGAAAAAAGAGCTAGGTAGTTTCAATCACTTATTGAATAGTATTAATTACTGAGGTGCTTTAAGTGTATAGAATATTATCACCTCAGTGGACTGAGGCTCAAGTATAGCAGGGATTGTGGGGCTGGCGCGGGATCGGGCAGTGTTTCGTTCTGCTGTGCATGGGGTCGCTATGAGTCGGAAATGACTCGACGGCACTTAACAACAACAACAACAGCAGTGGACTGAAGTAACACACACAGATTTTCTTCAGCATCTTATTTTCAAGTAGAAGATAACCAGACTGACATCTGATTTCATATTGTGATATGATATCCCCAGGCCCCACATTAAATATAGATTATTATAGGACTAATTAGTGCATGCCAGTTCTGTCTAGATTGAGACACTGAGATTTGAAGAAAGAGTAGAGACCATTGAAAAATTAACTCTAGGGTCATTTCTGTCATTTATACCAAAGATTGGCAAACTATCATCCACAAGTCAAATCTAGCCTATTACTTGTTTTCATAAATAAAACTTTATCAAAACATACACATGCTCATTCTTTTACATATTGGCTATGGCTCCTACAACAGCAGAGTTGAGTAGCTGGGATGGAGACTACATGGCCTATAGTAAAAAGCAAAGTAAAAAATATTTGTTTCCAGCCCCTAATTTACACCTTGCCATTTTTTTTTCCCCCAAAAGGAGCACTGATGGCACAGTGGTAAGTGTTCAGCTGCTACCCAAAAGGGTGGTGGTTCAAACCCACCAGCTGCTCTGTGGGAGAAAGATGAAGCAGTCTGCTTTCATAAAGATTATATCCTTGGAAACCCTATAGGATAGATCTACTCTGTCCTATAGGATTGGTATGAGTCATAATCAACTCAAGGACAATGGGTTGAGTTTCCCCAAAGCATTCAACACTTAAAAAATAAAATGATAAATCCAGGGTAGCTACACAGAGGAGCAATATGTGCAATTACACAAGGCTCCATGCTTAAATGGGCCCTGTGCTTGGTTTAATGCTCTGCTGTCACCACCTTAAAATTTTAAATAATTTTTGTACAAGAGGTCCACATTTTCATTTTGCTCTAAGACCCACAAATTATGCAGCTCCTTCTGAATAAGGTACGATGAGGATTGAGAGTTGTGTTGAATACAATGAGTCAGTTACCAACGTAGATCCAACCTAGATCTTTTTGCTTCTGGTTTTACTTCTCAGGAAGTTACAGATTGTCCTTTCTTCCTTGTTGTTGTTGTTGTCCAGTGCCATGGTGTTGTGTCCAACTCATAACGACCCTATGTACAGCAGAACAAAACACTGCCTGGTCCTGAGCCAGTTCCACGATTCTTCCTACACTTACGCCCATCACTACCGCCCCTGTGTCAATGCACCTTGCTGAGGGCCTTCCCCTCTTTCGTTGACCCTCCACCTTACAAAGCATGACATCCTTCTCCAGGGAATGGTCCCTTCTGACAATATAACCAAAGTATGTGAAATGAAGTCTGGCTATTCTCGCCTCCAAGGAGCATTTCGGCTGCACTTCCTCCAGGACAGACCTGTTAGTTCTTTTAGCAGTCCATGGTACTTTCAGCATTCTTTGCCAACACCACAGTTCAAAAGCATCAACTTTTCTTTGGTCTTCCTTATTCATCATCCAGCTCTCACATGCATATGAGGTGATTGAAAATACCATGTCTTGTGTCAGACGCACCTTAGTCCTCAAGGGAACATCTTTGCTCTTTAGTACTTGAAAGAGGTCCTTTGCAGCCGATTTGCCCAGTGCTGTACGTCGCCTGATGTCCTGACTCCTGCTTCCATTG